CCCCCTCCCCCGTCTCCCCCGTCGCCTCCGTCTCCCCCGTCTCCCCCGTCTCCCCTGTCTCCCCATCTCCCCCGTCTCCCCCGTCTCCCCTGTCTTCCCCGTCTCCCCTGTCTCCCCCATCTCTTCTGTCTCCCCCGTCTCCTCTGTCTCCCCCGTCTCCCTCAGTGTCTCACCTGTCTCTCTGCGGAGCTGGTTCTGTCTTTGATTCTGTCCTCTCTCTGTCTTCGTCCTCTCTCTGTCTTCGTCCTCTCTCTGTCTTCGTCCTCTCTCTGTCTTCGTCCTCTCTCTGTCTTCGTCCTCTCTCTGTCTTCGTCCTCTCTCGGTCTTCGTCCTCTCTCTGTCTTCGTCCTCTCTTGGTCTCAGATACCAGGACAGCAGGGGAGACCAAACCACTCCGACTGGTTTGTCCTACGTGTCTGTGTCTGTGTCTGTGTCTGTGTCTGTGTTTGTTTCAGAGCAGCAGTGATGGAGGACAAGGAAGTGAGGACAGGAAAAACCAGACGGACCTGAACACAGGTGTGTGTGTGTGTGTGTGTTCTTGTCGTCGTTCGTGTCGTCGTTCTTGTTGTTGTCGTTCGTGTCGCCATTCTTGTCGTTGTTCTTGTTGTTGTCGTTCTTGTTGTCGTCGTTTTTGTCGTCGTCGTTCTTGTTGTCGTTCTTGATGTCGTTCTTGTTGTCGTTCTTGTCGTCGTCGTTCTTGTTGTTGTCGTTCTTGTTGTCGTTCGTGTCGCCATTCTTGTCGTCGTTCTTGTTGTCGTTCGTGTCGCCATTCTTGTCGTTGTTCTTGTTGTTGTCGTTCGTGTCGCCATTCTTGTCGTCGTTCTCGTCGTCGTTCGTGTCGTCGTTCTTGTTGTTGTCGTTCTTGTCGTCGTTCGTGTCGTCATTCTTGTCGTCGTTCTTGTCGTCGTTCTAGTCGTCGTTCGTGTCGTCGTTCTTGTCGTCGTTCTTGTTGTCGTTCGTGTCGCCATTCTTGTCGTCGTTCTTGTTGTTGTCGTTGTTGTCGTCGTTCTTGTCGTCGTTCTTGATGTCGTTCTTGTCGTCGTCGTTCTTGTCGTCGTCGTTCTTGTCGTCGTCGTTCTTGTCGTTGTTCTTGTCGTCGTTCTTGTCGTCGTTCTAGTCGTCGTTCGTGTCGTCGTTCTTGTCGTCGTTCTTGTTGTCGTCGTTTTTGTCGTCGTCGTTCTTGATGTCGTTCTTGTCGTCGTCGTTCTTGTCGTCGTTGTTCTTGTCGTCGTTCTTGTTGTTGTCGTTCGTGTCGTCGTTCTTGTTGTCGTCGTTTTTGTCGTCGTCGTTCTTGTCGTCGTTCTTGTCGTTGTTCTTGTCGTCGTTCTTGTTGTCGTTCTTGATGTCGTTCTTGTCGTCGTCGTTCTTGTCGTCGTCGTTCTTGTTGTCGTCGTTCTTGTCGTCGTTCTTGATGTCGTTCTTGTCGTCGTCGTTCTTGTCGTCGTTGTTCTTGTCGTCGTTCTTGTTGTTGTCGTTCGTGTCGTCGTTCTTGTTGTCGTCGTTTTTGTCGTCGTCGTTCTTGTCGTCGTTCTTGTTGTCGTCGTTTTTGTCGTCGTCGTTCTTGTCGTCGTTCTTGTCGTCGTTCTAGTCGTCGTTCGTGTCGTCGTTCTTGTCGTCGTCGTTCTTGTCGTCGTTCTTGTTGTCGTTCTTGATGTCGTTCTTGTCGTCGTCGTTCTTGTCGTCGTCGTTCTTGATGTCGTTCTTGTCGTCGTTCTTGTTGTCGTTCTTGTCGTTGTTCTTGTCGTCGTTCTTGTTGTCGTTCTTGATGTCGTTCTTGTCGTTGTTCTTGTCGTCGTTCTTGTCGTCGTTCTAGTCGTCGTTCGTGTCGTCGTTCTTGTCGTCGTTGTTGTCGTCGTTCTTGTTGTCGTTCGTGTCGCCATTCTTGTCGTCGTTCTTGTTGTTGTCGTTCGTGTCGTCGTTCTTGTTGTCGTCGTTTTTGTCGTCGTCGTTCTTGATGTCGTTCTTGTTGTCGTTCTTGATGTCGTTCTTGTCGTCGTCGTTCTTGTCGTCGTCGTTCTTGTCGTCGTTGTTCTTGTCGTCGTTCTTGTCGTCGTTCGTGTCGTCGTTCTTGTCGTCGTCGTTCTTGATGTCGTTCTTGTCGTCGTCGTTCTTGTCGTTGTTCTTGTCGTCGTTCTTGTCGTCGTTCTAGTCGTCGTTCGTGTCGTCGTTCTTGTCGTCGTCGTTCTTGTCGTCGTTCTTGTTCTGGTACTGTTTCCTCACTTCTTCTTGTTTTTCCACCGTGACTTTGTTCCTGCAGACGTTCGGTCTTTGGACCCAGGTCTGGTGTCCACTCCTGTCCCTCCTGCTGCGTCCACAGCAGACAAACTCTGGTGAACTCTGACGGTCAACAGTGTGGACACACTGTCCACGTGTCCCTGAAGACCTCGGGGACAGTGAGTGCACAGGAACTTTTTTTACCCATTACAGATCAAACTGTTGTTTCTCTAAAGATTTGACTTGGATTTCTTATGTTAGCACATCCTTGGCTAATGCTAGGCTAAGTTACTAACCCTAAGCCTATTTAGCTCCATCTAACCTTTAGCCCTCTTTGCTAACCCAGTAGTCCTTGTCCCAACTTGAGCTAAGAACCTTTAGCTTTCCTTTCTAACCACTGACTTTATTTAGGCTAACGTTTGATGGCAGCGTTTGCTGTTTTAGTGATCGCTAGCTTTTTTAGCTTCAGCTTTTTAACTGTGTGTATATATAAACGTGTGTGTGTGTGTGTGTGTGTGTGTGTGTGTGTGTGTGTGAAGTGAAGCCTTCTTGGTTTCAGACTCAGAGTCTGTGGAAGAACTCCCTCGTCTCCCGTTGGTCCTGGTTGTCGACCCACTTCCAGAGTTTTCTTCAAGTTAAAGTGGGTCACGCGGCCACGTGGTGCCGTGACCTTTGTCCCAGTTTGAAGAGAGTTACTGTGGATGGGCGATCGTAGAGGGGGAGAGAGAGGGGGGAGTGGGGGAGTGGCTGCAGAGAGGGAGGGAGCAGTCACTGAGTAAGAAGAGGAAGAGGAGCAGCAACGAAGACCGAGCAGAAGAAGGAGACTGAAACCTGGTAAAACCTGACTCTCTCTCTCTCTCTCTCTCTGTGTGTGTGTGTGTGAGAATTAGAATCACTGATTGTTTTCTATAGACGTTCATTGTCTGCTTCAGTGAATTGAAATGAAACTTGTTTTTTTCCCCCAGGTGTTCACACTGCTCTGTCCCTGCTGTGACTGAGCTGGACACTTTCGTCCACCGGGACATGGACAACAGCAGCAGGAGCAGGAAATGTCCACAGCCTGGACCTGGACTCCCACAAAGTCCAGGTCCTGACCCTTTTCTCACAGCAGCTCGGCTGCTGCGAAAAGGAGGAAGGCTGGAAGAGGAGGAGGAGAAGGAGCGGACTGAGACGCCCAGGTGTCAAAGGTGTCCCACCGGGACCAGAGCCCATGGACACCACGGTCCAAATGCGGGGAAGACGAGTCCTTGGAGCCGGAGGAAGATTATTGTCAAGGACACAAAGTTAGAGGAGAGTGTGGATGAAAAGGCGGGAGAAGAGGAGGAGACAACACACCGCCACCTGGTGGCTCTGTGGACGTCTGGACGGCGTGTCCCCTGCAGACAGAAAATGAGGCTAAAGGCTCCGGTGCTGCCCGTCATCTCTGAGACGTAGACCAGCTTCAGGTGGTGGAACCTTCCAGATCAAACCTCTCAGTTGAGCAACAGCAGATGTAAATATGTGTTTGTCTCTGCCTCCATTTTACTACAGTTACGGTGCTACGACTAAACTGACACTAAACACACTGTGATGTCACAGAAATTAAACCACACTGTTTACAAAATGTCGCAGAAGTCATGTGTTTCCGCCCGGTTTCGAACCGGGGACCTTTCGCGTGTTAGGCGAACGTGATAACCACTACACTACGGAAACTATAACGTAACAATGAGAGGCTAACGTTAGCATAACGCTACTTAGCACAAAACAGGGTTAGCTGCCATGACGCCTCGTCGATGAATCAGTTGAATGAATGGATTTAATGAAAACAAAAGTTTGAAGTGGAACTTCCTGTGAAACATCCACCACATCCTGTCACCTGATCTATATTATATTCACACTTTTATTCATTATTGATATGATTGACATCCCTCCATTTTCAAACAATATCAATCTGTAAACTCGGTTGGTTGAATTCTCGTGATTGTTGCTACGTTTGTTTTATCGGTGTTTTTTTTGTCATTTACCTTTTTTGAAACTGTCTTGTATTTTTCAGATGTTTTCTTCTTAAATGTAACAAAAAATGCTCATGAAAATATCGGTGTTCCGCCCGGTTTCGAACCGGGGACCTTTCGCGTGTGAGGCGAACGTGATAACCACTACACTACGGAAACGGTGTTGGTTCAGTCGTGCTGGTGTTGGTTAGTACAAAGTTAGTGATGTGAACATGTCGGCGTATGTTTATATATAAACAAGACATGACAGTCACGGAGCCTTTGTTTTATGTGTTTATTTTATATAGAGTAACGGTACTAAGTAAATACTAAACAAGTAACGGTACTTGATTGACAGTAATGGTTCAGTGAAGGTATTTTATTCCGCAGACTGAATAAGAAGTCGAATATAAATAGTCGAAGTTCGTTTGTTTTTGTTCCTCTTTACGTTAGAACGGAAAAAAACCTGTAAAAGTCCAAATACGTGCGCGCGCGCGCGCACACACACTGACAGACACACAGGGATTCAAATGAGTGTGACGTGATGATCGTTACCAAAGCAGAAATAACAGAAAGAATTCAGCGTTAGATCAAAGTCTGACTAAAAATAAAACACAGAAACACGTTCTGATTGGCCGACGAACACCGGCAGGAAGTCAACATGAAACCGGAAACAGTTGCTGCACCTCAGTGTCCTCAACATTCTCCACACACACAGTGTAACACACACTCACAGTGTAACACACACCCCAACGTCCAAAAACAAAACAGTGAAAATAACTGTAAAAACCTGTAGAAACCAAATAACGAGCACAGACACAGAACAACAGACACAGAACAACAGACACAGAACAACAGTCACAGAACAACAGACACAGATGTTATCATAAAGAGGAAGTGGGAGTGTGCTGGAGCACACACACACACACACACACACAGAGCCAGTATAAAGCCCGTGTGGGGCTGGACTCCGTCAGTCCAGACCATGGAGCAGACCTACGTCAGACACGTGGAGCTCCTCGGCTTCGAGAGACGAGATTTCCCCACCAAACATTATGTGAGTTTTTCTTGACCAAATGTTGACTTTTCTCTGATGATGTCATGATATGAACGTTGGTTTGAAGCCTTGACCTGTGACACGGACCGGAGAAGAAAGAGGAACTCCCTCTGGATGTTTCTGCCGCTTGAAAGTTTTTATAGAAAACAAACCTTTTTATGACTGTAGGTCAAAGGTCATCTCTGTGTGGCCCCTGGAACAGAGTGGACACAACAACCAGGCCTAGAACAAATGATAATGTCAGCATGAGTTCAGACACGCTCACCAAACCTCATAGAAAAAAACACTGATTTTACTGACACCTGGTGCTCACACCTGGTGCTCACACCTGGTGCTCACACCTGCTCACACCTTGTGCTCACACCTGGTGCTCACACCTGGTACTCACAGCTGGTGCTCACAGCTGGTGCTCACAGCTGGTGCTCACAGCGGCTGGTCTACAGACCAGGTCAGTCACACAGTGTTGTCCTGCAGGTCTACATGCTGATGGTGAAGTGGAGCGACCTCTCAGAGAAGCTGGTCTACAGGACGTACCCAGAGATCCACACCGTCCACGTGAGTTCCTGTCCACGGCAGAGACCACAGGCTGAGGTCGTGGGCTCTGTTCTCAACTGTGTGTGTGTGTGTGTGTGTGTGTGTGTGTGTGTGGCAGAAATCCCTGAAGGAGATGTTTCCCATCGAGTCTGGTCGCATCGAGAAGAAGGACAGGATTGTTCCCAAATTACCAGGTAAAAACACCCCGCAGGACCGGGCCGGACCTCACAACCACCAGTAGAATAATACTGTGTGTCAGGTGACCTTTAACCCCTGACATGAACACGTGCAACAGCGCACGTCTTTTCGTCCACGTCCGTTTCTGTTGTTGCTTCAGAGCAGCTTCACAACCATGTGTCGTAAGTCAGGTTTCTGAGGTCGCACTTCTGTTTTCAGATCAGGAAACAGCTGCTGGTCCAACAGGGGGGGGGGGGGGGGGGGGGGGGGGGGGGGGGGGGGGTTCTTTGGACATCGTTGTTGACCTCCGTGACCTTTGGTTCTTTCTGTCTTCTGATCTCCAGCTCCACGGTGGGTGGACTCTCAGAAGTCAACAGAAACCCGTCAGAGCACGTTGGCAGATTACTGCCGCCTACTGGTCAACCTGCCACCTCACATCTCCCGCTGTAAACACCTGACCGAGTTCTTCAAGGTCCGACCAGAGGATGAGAAACCACCAGCTGCCAACACGTCAGTGTCTCACACACACACACACACACACACACACAGGTGGACAGGAAGTGGTTAAAGTGACTTTCCTCCTCAGACTGAGAAGAAACGAGGGCCCTGTGACATCAGCAGAGTCTGTGACAGGAAACGCCTCAGGTGACGTTGGTTCAAAGACTCCATTCACGGTGGTCAAGACAACTGTTTTACACCGTTGTCTTTTTATTTTTACAATCAGAGATTTCTGGACCCATTATTCTGGACACATACAGCGTGATTGCAGACTTCACCAAGACGTCCAAGGATGAGATTGAGTTGCGAGCTGGAGACCTGGTGGAGATCGTGGAGAAGAATTCAAATGGTGAGAAATATTAATTCATATTTGCTTTGAGGAAAACTGCAAGACAAAACCAGTAGATCAAGCACTGGCTGATCTGTAGCTGTCCAATAAAATCTCTGATTTTCTCCATGGACTTTGGTCTGAACTAAAATCTCTGATTTTCTCCATGGACTTTGGTCTGAACTAAAATCTCTGATTTTCTCCATGGACTTTGGTCTGAACTAAAATCTCTGATTTTCTCCATGGACTTTGGTCTGAACTAAAATCTCTGATTTTCTCCATGGACTTTGGTCTGAACTAAAATCTCTGATTTTCTCCATGGACTTTGGTCTGAACTAAAATCTCTGATTTTCTCCATGGACTTTGGTCTGAACTAAAATCTCTGATTTTCTCCATGGACTTTGGTCTGAACTAAAATCTCTGATTTTCTCCATGGACTTTGGTCTGAACTAAAATCTCTGATTTTCTCCATGGACTTTGGTCTGAACTAAAATCTCTGATTTTCTCCATGGACTTTGGTCTGAACTAAAATCTCTGATTTTCTCCATGGACTTTGGTCTGAACTAAAATCTCTGATTTTCTCCATGGACTTTGGTCTGAACTAAAATCTCTGATTTTCTCCATGGACTTTGGTCTGAACTAAAATCTCTGATTTTCTCCATGGACTTTGGTCTGAACTAAAATCTCTGATTTTCTCCATGGACTTTGGTGCGGTGCTGTTTAGGCTGGTGGTTCTGTCAGTGTGACTATAAGCGTGGTTGGGTTCCTGCCTCGTACCTGGAACCTTTGGACCAACCAGAAGAGGCTGAGGAGGCTGAACCAGACTACGGAGGTGAAACGATTGTTTGTTTTTCTCACTGTTGTTTTTGCGGTGTCAGTTGTTGCTTCAGGTTGTGCTTCTGTGCAGGAGAATTCTTCGTCACCATCAGCTCCTACACTGCGGAGCAGGAAGATGAGATTTCTCTTCAGTCTGGAGAAGTGATTGAAGTCATCCACAGGCTGCTGGACGGTTGGTGGGTCGTCAGGTAACGCTGTGGACCATCGCCACGTCACCTTGTACCAGCTGCTTTATACAGCTGCACTGACATGTGTGTGTGTGTGTGTTCAGAAAAGGTGAAGAGACTGGACATTTTCCCTCCATGTATCTGCAGAAGACAGGAGACAAGGAGGGACAGGGGGGGGGACAGAGACACCCACCCGGAGGACAGAGGCTGCCGCCCCGCAGGTCAGCTGCTGGCTGAACGTTAGCAAAAAAAAACAAAACTATAGGTTTGAGGAATTGCTAGCCTGCCACAGTGGTTTAACCAACATATGGCTTAGAGTTAGCTTAGCTTAGCTTAGCGTCCTGTACCTAGCTGACGTCCAGAAGAAGAGTGGACGTTCGCCCAGAAGGCAGCTGAGATCATTTTCAACAGAAATGTTCTTCTGTCTCGTCTCAGATCCACCATCAGAAATGTAAAGAGCATTCACGGCCGTGCTCGTCGGCGCCTCAGTCAGGATGTTTATCGTAGGAACAGCCGCCGCTTCCTGCAGCAGAGGAGCGAACGAAAATCAAACGTGACTCCCGTCAAGAAACCGCTACAGGAGAGGAAGAACGAAGGTAGGGACAAAACCTCTGAGAGGTTCTCAACATGAGGGACCCTGACTGGTCGCTGACGTTTTCTTCCGTCTTCCTGACAGACAACATTCCTGACACCAGCGACTCCAGTTCGGAGGGCGAGGTGAAGAGGCAGGTCCCGGTGGTGCCGCCCAGACCCAGTCCAGAACTGATCCTGGAGCGATGCACCGACAAAACCCGGAAGAGAGTCAGCATCCACCAGACTCCGCCCTGAGTCTGAGTCCAGGAACTGACGTCTGGACACAGGAACATAAAAAAAAAAAAAAAAAGACTTTGGTGAAATGATTTCTCTAACATTTATTTTAAGAAATAGAAAAATACAAGATTGTTCAAATGTTCTGTCAGTAGTATCTCTGATTTTCTCCATGGACTTTGGTCTGAACTAAAATCTCTGATTTTCTCCATGGACTTTGGTCTGAACTAAAATCTCTGATTTTCTCCATGGACTTTGGTCTGAACTAAAATCTCTGATTTTCTCCATGGACTTTGGTCTGAACTAAAATCTCTGATTTTCTCCATGGACTTTGGTCTGAACTAAAATCTCTGATTTTCTCCATGGACTTTGGTCTGAACTAAAATCTCTGATTTTCTCCATGGACTTTGGTCTGAACTAAAATCTCTGATTTTCTCCATGGACTTTGGTCTGAACTAAAATCTCTGATTTTCTCCATGGACTTTGGTCTGAACTAAAATCTCTGATTTTCTCCATGGACTTTGGTCTGAACTAAAATCTCTGATTTTCTCCATGGACTTTGGTCTGAACTAAAATCTCTGATTTTCTCCATGGACTTTGGTCTGAACTAAAATCTCTGATTTTCTCCATGGACTTTGGTCTGAACTAAAATCTCTGATTTTCTCCATGGACTTTGGTCTGAACTAAAATCTCTGATTTTCTCCATGGACTTTGGTCTGAACTAAAATCTCTGATTTTCTCCATGGACTTTGGTCTGAACTAAAATCTCTGATTTTCTCCATGGACTTTGGTCTGAACTAAAATCTCTGATTTTCTCCATGGACTTTGGTCTGAACTAAAATCTCTGATTTTCTCCATGGACTTTGGTCTGAACTAAAATCTCTGATTTTCTCCATGGACTTTGGTGCGGTGCTGTTTAGGCTGGTGGTTCTGTCAGTGTGACTATAAGCGTGGTTGGGTTCCTGCCTCGTACCTGGAACCTTTGGACCAACCAGAAGAGGCTGAGGAGGCTGAACCAGACTACGGAGGTGAAACGATTGTTTGTTTTTCTCACTGTTGTTTTTGCGGTGTCAGTTGTTGCTTCAGGTTGTGCTTCTGTGCAGGAGAATTCTTCGTCACCATCAGCTCCTACACTGCGGAGCAGGAAGATGAGATTTCTCTTCAGTCTGGAGAAGTGATTGAAGTCATCCACAGGCTGCTGGACGGTTGGTGGGTCGTCAGGTAACGCTGTGGACCATCGCCACGTCACCTTGTACCAGCTGCTTTATACAGCTGCACTGACATGTGTGTGTGTGTGTGTTCAGAAAAGGTGAAGAGACTGGACATTTTCCCTCCATGTATCTGCAGAAGACAGGAGACAAGGAGGGACAGGGGGGGGGACAGAGACACCCACCCGGAGGACAGAGGCTGCCGCCCCGCAGGTCAGCTGCTGGCTGAACGTTAGCAAAAAAAACCAAAACTATAGGTTTGAGGAATTGCTAGCCTGCCACAGTGGTTTAACCAACATATGGCTTAGAGTTAGCTTAGCTTAGCTTAGCGTCCTGTACCTAGCTGACGTCCAGAAGAAGAGTGGACGTTCGCCCAGAAGGCAGCTGAGATCATTTTCAACAGAAATGTTCTTCTGTCTCGTCTCAGATCCACCATCAGAAATGTAAAGAGCATTCACGGCCGTGCTCGTCGGCGCCTCAGTCAGGATGTTTATCGTAGGAACAGCCGCCGCTTCCTGCAGCAGAGGAGCGAACGAAAATCAAACGTGACTCCCGTCAAGAAACCGCTACAGGAGAGGAAGAACGAAGGTAGGGACAAAACCTCTGAGAGGTTCTCAACATGAGGGACCCTGACTGGTCGCTGACGTTTTCTTCCGTCTTCCTGACAGACAACATTCCTGACACCAGCGACTCCAGTTCGGAGGGCGAGGTGAAGAGGCAGGTCCCGGTGGTGCCGCCCAGACCCAGTCCAGAACTGATCCTGGAGCGATGCACCGACAAAACCCGGAAGAGAGTCAGCATCCACCAGACTCCGCCCTGAGTCTGAGTCCAGGAACTGACGTCTGGACACAGGAACATAAAAAAAAAAAAAAAAAGACTTTGGTGAAATGATTTCTCTAACATTTATTTTAAGAAATAGAAAAATACAAGATTGTTCAAATGTTCTGTCAGTAGTCCAGATGTCCCAGATGTCCCAGATGTCCCAGCGTCGGTTGATGGTTCAGTGTCGTCGTCAGGCGTTCGTTACTGTTTTCAACTTTAATGATTTTATCTGGTCTTTGTTTAATGAAGTCATAAAATAAAAATGCCAAACACTTTCTGATCGTTTCTGAGTCGATCACGTGACGTGAGCAGCTCTATCGTTATTGAAAGCTGAAAATGCGCCGTTAGTTTGTATTTCGAATTCCTTAAGTTTTCCCTTTTATTTGCACAGTGAAACCACGAGGTGGCAGTAATGCAAATAAAAGTCTGCCGTTTCTGAAACCCAAACAACAAAAGATCAGGTGACAAGAGAAGAAGTTAGAAATAAACAGTGACAACACTGAAACTAAAGACAAAACAAAACACTTTAAAAGTTTAGAAACAAACAAAAAAAACCACTGACCCCGACGTGATTCGAACACGCAGCCTTCTGATCTGGAGTCAGACGCGCTACCGTTGCGCCACGAGGTCATGCATCCAGAGAAAGACTCTTTATTTTTTATATACCTCATCACCAGGCCACATGTGACGTCACTGTGCGTGTTTGCGACAGAGCGGACTCCTGGTGCTGAGGAGAAACCTGACCTCGACAGTTGTTTAAAATAAATAAGGAACACAGCTAACAATGCTAACGTTAGCTGTGTTAGCACCGTTAGCTGTTCAGAAGAAGCAATGACAGACACAGGTTCAGGTTTCCCTGACTGACCCTAACCCACGTTATCAATCTAGCGCCCCCATCAGTTTGTTATTTGGACTTCTATGACAAAACCTCCAGGAAACTCTGTGGGAAAACTTCCGGGTAACTCTGTGACGTCAGACGCCAACGCAGCCGCGTGTTTTAAAAAACGCCTTCGTTCAAACGAGCTCAGCTCACCTATTTCAACATGGCGGGTTCACCTGGTCCGGTTTCAAGACGGCGGTCGAACGGTTCGTGGTTTTTAAAGTTTATTTAGTTTGAAAGACGTTGTGTTAACGGTTACGGCCTGACTCGTGATTAGTACTAGTCGACTTCTAATGCTGATCTTTATTGACTAGTCCCGTTATTAACGAAAACTGTGACCGTAAAGTAACAGTTTTAAACCAGTCCTCGATGTGGGCTCGTTCGACTGAGTGGAACGGGTTAGCTTCAGGTTAGCCTCAGGTTAGCTTCTGGCCGTGTTAGCCCGATGCTAGTCCGGAGACGATAAGCAACTACGATGGACGATATGTTCGTATATATTCATATATATATATATGAATATGATACGTTATGATATGTTGTCCCACAAATTATTTCTGGTAAACGATATTAATGTCGCCATTATTTTAAGAGAAAAAAAATTAACCGCCGATGTAATAATATATCGCGATAATGCAAACACGCCCGTTCAGATGCAGGAAACCTTTATTTCTAAAGAGACTTTTGTACTGTTATCACTGTTGTCCGATGGTACTTGAACGCCCCTCATTTCAGCAGAGCGGGCTCCAAATTAAAACATGTTTTTTTCTTTATTTAAAGCTTTTGCTTCGTGTCAAACCTGCAGTTTTAGAAGTGAGTGGTGAACTGTGTGAGCCCCCCCCCCCCCGCCCCCCTCCACGTCACCAGATGTTGGACCACGTGATCAGAACACACCATCTACAGTCATCCTGTTAGGTGCTACCATGGTGACCATACCTGGGCTGAACCAGACCTCCGGACCCCGGGTACCTGGACCTCCGGACCCCGGGTACCTGGACCTCCGGACCCCGGGTACCTGGACCTCTGGACCCCGGGTACCTGGACCTTTGGACCCCGGGTACCTGGACCTAATCCTGGACCTCCAGACTCTCCTGTCATTATTTGTTGAATTCTTTTCTGGTTCAGATGTAACTTTTTTTTAAATTTGTTTGTTTCTTAAACATATCCTCTTTTTTTTCCCCTTTAATTTGTACAGACCAGAACCTTCATGAACACTGAGGCTCCACCCCCACAGAAGAACACCCCTCCACGGGTCCTGGTCCTGGTCCTGGTCCTGGTACCATCGGTCCACATGAAGAACTTTGTCCTCTGTCTTTAACTCCTCCACAGATCAGGTGAGGGTGGAGAGGACATGACAACAGCCTGCTTCCACTTGACCTGCTGCGCCACCTACTGGACTGTTCACCTATGCTGTCACTAAAGTGTTTGTTTTATTTAATTTAAATATGATTGAATTATAATTATTTATTAAAAATCAAAGATTGAGTCGAGGTGTTTGTGTGAAGATCAGACGTTTGAACCGTCTTGTTCTGTTTGGGGCCCCAGCCTCCGACTGTTCTGACGTTGACACGGCCCTGGTACTGACCTGCAGGGTGTGAACACACACACACACACACACGCTCACACACACTCATTAAGGAAGTGTCTCCTGTCAGAGAGAGCAGCTGGAGCAGCAGTCAGGTGAGTTTGGTTTTTCTTCTTCTTCTCTTCGTTCACATTTCCGTGTCGCTGTCACCGTCGGCACCGCTGTCGTCACTGAACTGATCTGTGAACAGTTTCTCTTTATTTCTTCTGTGTTTAAAACTGAAGCTCACCTCTCTGCTGGTGGACCAGCACCCAGTGGTTCTGAGGTCCACGGCCCACACTGGCCCCACATTTAACCCTTCATTCGCTGTGATGCTGCAGACTTTTATGACATTTTTTGGAGTGTGTGCTGAGCTGATGGACCGCCCGGGCAGGTGTGTGTCTCCTGCCCCACCGGTTTGGCCTCGGCCCGGCCTGACACAGTCGCTCAGCTGGTTTTCAACAGAAGGAAAATAAGTGTTGGCAGAAGTGAAGGAGTTTCTGAACATCTCTTCTTGACTCATAGTCACTTCCTGTGCTGCCTTCAGGGACGTTTCTTACGACAGAGCAGGCAGACACCTGGGGGGGGCGCTAATAAAACCCCACTGGATACATTAATCCCATGATTTTAGCTGTGACCACAGTGAGGTGTGTGTGTGTGTTGGCCCAGAACCTGTGGATCAGTGAGGACCCTGGTCCTGGACCATATGGTGGACGTCACCTGGTGTTGTCCCACACAGGTGACGTCCAGGCTGATGGTGGACAAAGGAACAGGAAAGGTCAACGTCACTAGTTAAACATGATCTGTTGGTTCAGATGGCGCCCCCTACAGAGAAACTTGAGACTTAAATGCAGTCGATCGGTTTATGTTTTTTTTCATAAGAAAAAGATCGACTGCATCTAAGATAGACTGGATATGATGCTGCGTTGACGGACGTCAAGAAGCCAGTTTTTCCTGCTCTTTATTGAAGTTTCCGTCTGTCGTTTCTCCTTAAACACTGTGTTCAGTCTGATCAAATATTAGCTTCTCACTTCAAGCTAATTCTGAGCTACAACACATCTCTTTTTGACGCAGTGACTGAAGTAAAATAAAGAAATAAAAACAAACGTGAGTTAGAAATAGTTTGTTTTATCTATGCTAATGTTTGTCGCTAGCTTAAAGCTATTTGTTTTTCACTTTTTTTTCCAAATGTTTTTTAAACAACACATCAAATATACAACATTTTCACCTCGTTACCTTTATGGTCATGACGTGTGAACTCGAGGCCACCGCTGTCGGGGAAATGCTCTCCAGAGGGGGCGCTGTGATCGACTGTAGTGACTTTGTTGTTGTCTGTTGTGTTTGTAGCCGCACGGACGGAGAAACGGTCAACGGCGCCAGCATGAACGGAAACTCGGCAACGCTGCACACGGACGGAATCCCTGAGGACACCCTCAAGAAGGTACCAGTCACATGACCTGGTCTGGACCTTATCATTCCTACTTCAGGGGTCGTGACCTTTCACTTTACTGGTTCAAATACAGGACACTGTCCTCCAGAGAGCATGTGGTTTTTATTTCAGCCACCAGGGGGAGATGCCACTGATTGTAACACAGTATTTAATGGAATGGCTGCTGCCTCCTGTGGCCAGTTTGTGTAGTTGAGAAAGGTCCAAATGTTGTAAATCAACAGTAAAAGTCAGTGATGAAAGGAAGTGGCCCCCTGCTGGACACTGCAGGTTTTTCCTGTGTTGGCCTCACTTGTTGACACTCGCCTGAGTCTGGTGGAGGAATAAAGTTGGCCCCGCCCACTCCGTCGACAGGACGAGTTGAGACAGGAAGACGAAGGTGGGACCCCGGGTACCTGGAGCGTGCCGATCCCGAGTCGGAGTCTGTTGGTGGAAAGTCTCAGACCTGGTCTGGGTCCTGGTCTGGGTCCTGGTCTGGGTCCTGGTCTGGGTCCTGGTCTGGGTCCTGGTCTGGGTCCTGGTCTGGGTCCTGGTCTGGGTCCTGGTCTGGGTCCTGGTCTGGGTCCTGGTCTGGGTCCTGGTCTGGGTCCTGGTCTGGGTCCTGGTCTGGGTCCTGGTCTGGGTCCTGGTCTGGGTCCTGGTCTGGGTCCTGGTCTGGGTCCTGGTCTGGGTCCTGGTCTGGGTCCTGGTCTGGGTCCTGGTCTGGGTCCTGGTTCTAGTCTGGACTGGAGTCATTTTCTTCTTTTTTTGTTATTGGTCAGACACACACACACACACATATTTCTTCATGTTTCAACATAGGGTGTGTGTGTGTGTGTGTGTGTGTGTGTGTGTGTGTGTTCTCTGATCCTAGTGTTGAAACCAGGTTTCTTCACTCACAGACAGAAGACAACACACACACACACACACACACACACACACGACAAAATTAAGAAATCAGAAAAGTGCGTTCTGTGAACAGAATCCAGGAGCACAGCAGAGGAAATGCTGCCCCCAGCTGGACAGAGTTTAAACTGCAGCCGTGACTTTTTTCACACCACTGAATCATTTTTCTGTTTAACTTTTTTTTGTCTCCGTTGTTGTTTTGTGCACGCGCGCTCGTGTGCTCGTGCACGTGCAGGTGCAGCCCGTCCTGCAGCCTCTCCGTCTCTCCCTGGACAAACTGAGGGACGTTTCCTCTCGTCTCCACAAAGGCCTGGTCCAAGGTCTAGGGAAACACTCTCACCACAGAGCTGCAGTCAAGATGCTGCCGACGTTCGTCAGAGCGACACCTGATGGAACAGGTGGGAAATGATTTGGTTTGAAACAACAGTGACCGTGGATGGACGTGAACATTCACACCGTGTCTCCAGAGAAAGGTGACTTCCTGGCCTTGGACCTGGGGGGGACAAACTTCCGTGTTCTTCACGTGCGGGTGCTGCAGGCGGAGCAGAAGGTGGTGAAGATGGACAGTCAGATCTGTGTGGTCCCCAAAGACATGATGACGGGAGCAGGAGAACAGGTGAGGACCAGGGACCATCAGTAATAGTTTGTTTGACTCGTGTCTGCTGAAACCTGACCTTTCAACTGTTCTGTGTCTCTCTCCCTCCCTGTCTCTCTCCCTCCCTGTCTCTCTCCCTCCCTGTCTCTCTCCCTCCCTGTCTCTCTCCCTCCCTGTCTCTCTCCCTCCCTGTCTCTCTCCCTCCCTGTCTCTCTCCCTCCCTGTCTCTCTCCCTCCCTGTCTCTCTCCCTCCCTGTCTCCCCCTCCTCCCCCAGCTGTTTGACCACATCGCTTCATGTCTCGGTGACTTCATCGCGTCTCAGGAGCTCAAGGGACAAACTCTTCCTCTCGGTTTTACTTTCTCTTTTCCTTGTGAACAGAAGGAGATCGACAAGGTAAGTGTCCACGTGTCTCTGTGTCCACGTGTCTCTGTGTCCACATAACTCTGTGTCCACGTGTCTCTGTGTCCAGAGCATCCTGATCCGCTGGACCAAAGGCTTTAACTGTCCAGGTGTGGAGGGAAGAGACGTGGTGACGCTGCTGAGAGACGCTGTTCGCAGGAGAGGGGTCAGTCAATGCACCACGTGCACGCTCCTGAGCACGTGCACACTCCTGAGCACATGGTCTGTGTTCCGTCTGTGTTCCGTCTGTGTTCCGTGGCTACAGTAAACACTGGATCCAGTGATCGTTTCTGAAACATAATCGTTTGAAGACTCGGTTCTGGGACAAAATGGAACTCCTCAAACTTCAACAAGAAAAAGACCAAAACATGAAGAACTGATCACAAGACAGACCGTCTGTGTCTGTGTCTGTGTCTCTGCAGGACTATGACATTGGTTCTGTTGCCATGGTGAACGACACAGTGGGGACAATGATGAGCTGTGGATACAAAGACCAGAGCTGTGAGATCGGCATGATTATTGGTACTAACACAGAATGATGGGGGGGGGGGGGGGGGGGAAGAA